GAGTATGTAGTATCATGTGTGAAAACAGAATACATATTGTCTGACTGTAATAAATGTTTGACACAGTATATTTCAGTTTTTACCCATGGCAATGAAACTGTACTTAGCAAACTGTGGGGTGACAGACACAAATCTTAATGACTAGATTCACAAGCCACATAGTTAATTTTGAATAGTTATTTTCTATTTCTATTTGAATTGTTACTATGCTACTGTATTGGAATAGTAATTAGGTGAGAGAAGCGCGTGTAAATGAGAAAAAAAACCCCAAGATTATGGAAAATCTGCCTCTAAATATTTTGGGTGTTTTTATTTGTAAAGGCACTAGAACTGCTGACACCACCCATTCCTGATAATGAGAATGCTCGAGTAAAAGCATATGTGAGACGTGGAACAGCGTTTTGTCAGCTGGAATTGTATACTGAAGGTGAGACCTTGATGCTGTGCAAACATGCACCTGGATTTATAGTGAGGTGCAAGTAATTCTGTGTAGCTCAGTGAGACTGCTCACGCCTCAGTTTTTTTCAGGAAGGATGTTAGATGAGGCTTATACAATCTATGTCTCTTTTTGTTAGAACCTTTATACCACATTACCTATTTTTTTATTTTTTATTTACTGGCTAATTGCAACATCACTTGAAAAACCTTCACGAGTTTTAAGAAAATTGATTGTACTCCTAATTTAAGGAGTAATACACTTCATGCATATGGCCAGGGAGCAGTTATTTCCAGTTAGTGGCTAAAGAGGATGCTCTTGCATTACTGATTAACATTTTTATTAATGTATCCGTATTAGGTCTCCAGGATTATGAAGCAGCTCTCAAGATTGATCCTAAAAATAAAACTATAGAAAAAGATGCCGAGAGGATTCGACACCTAATTCAAGGAACAACACAAGATTCTAAACAAATATAAATTTTGAGAGGGTTGCCTGGCATCGGAAGGAATCTTGGTTCTCTTCGTATGTTGCTAACTAGACGTTTTTCTGTTTCACTCAACACCTACAAAGTTGGTAAAAGATTGGATATCTGCAATACTGGTTTTGGAAATTACAGTATTATAACAGTATGTTTAGATAAATTTTATATAATTTCAATACAAAGTTGTCATTTTTGCTTTCTGTGAAATATTGGTGGGCTGATTATTAAAACGTTCTTCTGGTACGTGATTTAATGTTACTCATAACTAAACTAAATACTTGTCTTGAAATATCTACTGAGTCTAGACAGTGGGTTTTCAGACACCTTCATAGCTCCATACAGTCAACACCTGTTAACTCCTTACCTTTCTGCTCTCCACCAAAGCTGAAGCAGTTACGTGTTACATGATTATGGTTATATGCTTTCCTCTCTTATTGTTCATCGTGTTTGGCACATCTGAAACTAGGACAGTGAATTTAGATACTCTAACTCAGGTATCCTATTTGGAAAACCTCCGCCTGGAAGCATGGAGGTAGATTCTGTTGCGCAGAACATGCTTTTTAATGTTATGTAATACACGTTGAGTATTTTCAGCCTATTTTGAAACATTTGTTTGGGCTGAGCAAACAAGGTAATTGGAAAAATTATAAACCTATAGTGTAATGACAAATTAATCCTGTGATAAATTGTCCTATCAATGAATATGATTTACTTCTTTCATCCGCCTACAGTTAGTAATCTTTAGCTGTAAAGCATAATCTAAATCAAACTCGTTGTTATTGAGAACATATATTTTTCTTGGGCTGATATTTTAATTTGTACTCTGACACTGACCAGTGCCTCGGGGATACTGGTGTGATCAAAGATTCTCAGAAAAGGGACCATCCTAGTGAGGTTACAGGTGTGTAAAATGACATGAAGCATGACACTCTGCTTTCAAGTCCTGCAGTTCTTACTTTGGACAGGGGAAGAATGGAACAGAGTTGTACGGTTCGTATACATATGTTAGCATTTGTATTACCGTTGACAGCCTGAAACACTGGAGTTGAAGTGGGTCTGTTTTAGCCATTCTGCCCACATTGTGACCATTTCAGCTACACTCCTTTCAGTAGCAGTTTTAGCATTCGGAGTTTTCCACATCAGTCTGATTCCTGAATACCATTTACGACTGATTTCTCTGTTTAGAAGAAAACATTTATTATGCAGATATATGTTATTCTGTGTAAATGTCATACTCTTGAAACAGGGAGAAGGTAGCAGGTGTTGCTTCCGGTTGCTTGACTTGGAGCCTTGAGAGGATTGCTGAGGCGAGTCAGAAATGTCTGGGGGAGCTGCTGTTCCTTCTTCCCTACAGATACCTACTGCAGTGCCATGGAAGGGGGTGAGAATACTTTATTTATTGCCGTTGGAAGGAGGGCAGCGCAGGAGCTTAGTGCCCTGTTTGAGTGTAATGATAGACTTGCCAAAATATGGCTATTTTCTGAGGGGGGGTGAGGGCTAAGGAGGAGAAACACTGGCAGTGGGAAAAAGAAAATGCAAAGCAAACACTGGTTGTAAGTTCCTGATTTTCTGTTTTGGTTCCAGAGCCTATTAAAACATCTGTGTGCATCCATACAGGCCACTGATACTGTAGGGATGTGTTACAGCTGCCTGGGGCTGCTTCTGATGGGGGCAGGCACCTTTTTCTACTGCTATGAAACAGTGCCCTCTTTAAAGGTTAGGGAAGCAGATGTGCTTGGTGGCATGAACAACATCTGCCTCTTTCATCTGATTATATTGGGAGCACTTGGAAGCTAAACTTCTGACTTCAGCGCCTGAGCTGACGGCGTGTAAGCCATATAAAGTCATATACACGATGTCGGTGTTAGTGTCCTGAGATGTAGGAGTGTGGAAACTGACTTTAAGTTTTAGAATTGGTAAATACCTTAATTAAAACAAATAAACCCTTGGGTCAATGTCCCTTGCACTTAATTCCTATACAATTAGAGTTCCACATTTATGGTACCAGTTTCAAAAGCTTTATTTTATGTGCTTTGGTTTGATAAAGAGAAGTGGATCCTCAAATGGGCTACATCATTTTTGATACATCTTATTCAACCCAGCAAAACCAAAATAAGGCAGATATTGACAGTTATTCACAGAATGACTGAAAAAAAACCCCAGATTTGTTTTCTTAAAGCAAACTGTCTAGCCTAAGCCTTTGACAAGAAGATGGAGATGCATTTTTACAGGGTATGCTGTAAATTGGGGTAGTCATATACCCTACTTCTGTCAATGGCAGTGTTGAAATAACTACCTTGAGATGCCCCACAGGTGAGTAAGTGTTTTGAAAAGCTTTGATCCACCGGGTGGTAAGTACAGGGTACCATCTGTGGGACAGGTGGTATAGCACCATACTCACTTGAACTTGTTTTAAACAGTAAAACCTGAGGCTTTCTCAAAGAACCATTGGTCATGAGTGTTTTAGGGTCCAGCATACAGGAAAAGACCGGATTGCCGGGACTTGTGCAGAGAGGCAGATGAGGAGATTGGTTTTGCTCAGCGTTCGGACTTGATGGCAGGGTACCATCTGTGGGACAGGTGGTATAGCACCATACTCACTTGAACTTGTTTTAAACAGTAAAACCTGAGGCTTTCTCAAAGAACCATTGGTCATGAGTGTTTTAGGGTCCAGCATACAGGAAAAGACCGGATTGCCGGGACTTGTGCAGAGAGGCAGATGAGGAGATTGGTTTTGCTCAGCGTTCGGACTTGATGGCAGTTTCTCGGCAGAAGTCATCTTCTCCCTACAAAGGAGATGGATTTTAACTCAGTCTTTTGAATAACAGGGCAGAGCATTTCACATCAGCTACATGTTTGTGGTCGGAGCACATGTTGCTCAAGACGTGTATTGAAATACATGCACAGTGGAGAGTGAGGAACTCAACACTGCTGACTTTTGACCTTATTTAGTAAACTGTGGACAGTGATAAACAGACTCATGTGGTGTGTGTAGTAAAAGCTGAATAAGTACCTCCCTTGGTTTTGCTGAGCAAGCCAGTCAAAACCTGCTGTTCTTCAGGTCTGCGATCAAATCTTTTTTCTTTGTGTCTCAGTCCTGTAAGAGATGAAGAAAACATTCCAATTGTTTGCTTAGATAAAACTCGCTTTTCCTTTGTTTATTCATGAGGCCTGCTGTTGTCTCCTGGGTCTTTTTGGCACCAGTGTCAGAGCACTGGTGGGGCCTGAACCTCTGGCTTTAGGATGTACTCTGTTTGTACTGTTCCCGCGTTTGAGGTGCGGTCGAGGTGTGTGTAGGGGCTGCCTTACCTGCGTGGTGCGTGGCTCTCAGGAACAGACAGCTTCTCCTGAAGCAGCACGGATACGGGAATCTGATTCCAAGCCTCTGCTGTCAGGAAACTTACCAAATTAGTTAATTCACAGTCATCATCGTTATTCCACCTGTCCATGACTAGATGTATCAAATACTTCTAGTTAATATACTGCACGTTTATTTTTGGGGTGGTGGTGGCGGCTTGTTCTTTGGTGGGGCTGTGTTTGTTCAGTTTTCTTGTTTTCTTTCCCTTAGCACAAGCATTATTCACATGTAACGGAGTGCCTCCCTTCTGAGGTCATAGAATCATAGAATGGTTTGGGTTGGAAGGGACCTTAAAGATCATCCAGTTCCAACCCC